TGATCTCCTGGTTGTAGCTCTCTCAATTGAGAACAGGAGCATCAGGTTTTTTGTTGTTTTGCGGGGTTTTTTTTTTTAAATCCTTTTTTCCCCCCAGTCAGTGGAACAGGGGGAGGAAGGATGAATCCTTAGCTTACTAATGTCCTTAATTTTCCATCAACAGACTCCACGTAATTATTTGAAGTGCCTCAACACTTTTGATGGTGGCACGGATGCCTGCGACAACATAACTATAACTTGTTCCAATTGCCATGAAATCCAAATCCAGGCTTACAGGGTATCTATGTCTCCAGATACACCAGTGTAGCTGTGGTCTTCCTCTCTGCCACATCACCCCAAGCCCCTCCCAAAATATCAGCCTCAAGGTATTCACACAGTAACTGAGACTTGTCCTGGGACACAAAAAGGAGTTCCCAAGTATTGCTTAATTTCCTAAGGCTTTTGTAAATATAAACTACAATATCCACAGAGCCCTTAATCACCTTGAATAAACAAGTAATATTTAATGCATACCAGAGTATAGGTGAGGACTAGATAGGGTAAACGTACACCTGTGTAAAGAAGTTGAGACCTGTCTGCCTGCCGAGTTCATCAGATCATCAGACTTGCCTTGGACTTCAGGGGAATTCTCATTTATCAAAATATAGAGAATTCACCAGTACCTGGCAAAATCCATCAGTAGCCCGTTGTTACCTTACCCTACAGCCCCTGCTCATTTTTTAAAACTATCTTCTACCTCACACATCGTATTTCTTACATAAACTTTTCTGGATCAAGTTTTTGAATGTAACTGGTTAATGAGCAAATAAATGCAACACTCTTGTCATGACAGGGTCGTTTTAAATAATTAACCTGCCAGATCAACTTGACATATGGATGACCTGCAAAAGCCAATATGAAATGGAGAGGAAATAGGAACCCCAGCTCATCAAGCCACAGAGAGTGACCAAACACAGCTGAGAGAGGTTTGCCTTCCAGGCACAGTAAAGTGCAGTTTTCAAGACTGGATGTTTTTCAATGCTCCTCACCCCACTCTATGTGAGAAAAGGAGACATTTTACCCTGCTTTTTTGTTGCTTTTTTCCATTTTGATTCTGTTGGGTTAGGTTTTTTTGTTGTTTTTTTATTTGATTGGTTTTGCTCTGTTTTTGTGTTTTTTTGGTGTTGGGGTTTTGCTTGGGGTTAAACCTAAAGTGGTTTTTTTGTTGTTGTTGGGGGTTTTGGTACAAATAGGATGGGCTGGCTGTGTATTTAGAAGACACAAAAAGAAAATCATCTTCTGGCAGAGGTTGATTTCTAAGGGTCCAGACATACCAGCAGAGCTCCCACTGGCAACATCAGGTGAGAGCACTGACTCTGTTCATTGCACCTCCTACACGTAATACCCCTATCACTGTGACATGTAGAAGTGCTGCTAATCCTTAAATAAAGGGCTGAGCCTTGCCGTGGATAATGCCAGAGCAGAGTATTACTAAAAACTTTGTCAAGACCACACTCATTCAGCTTCTGAGAAGTGTTTCACATCCTTTTCTTTTCCATCTCCCATTTCTGCAGTAACCCTGAAGTCTAGCTGTAAAGCAGGTAACCCCATCATGTAGCATTAACTCCTGTTGTGCTGTGGACCACCACAACAGACAATCTTATCGTGACAACGCTGTCACATGGGTGCGGTAATTTTTGAGGTAGACCACAAAGCCTTACACAGACTGATCTGGATGGACTGAGAAAAATTAGTCTTACGTTGACCAGTCTTTTGTAAGGAATCCCAAGGATTTAATTAAATTGCTCCTTGGCTCAGAGAGACCCAAGTTGCTATTATCACGTGGTGCCATTCAAAGGAGGATAGGGAGTCATATGACGACTCCCTGCCATGTCTGTCATTTTTATTAGTCCAACTTGTGCAACTTAGAAGCAAGTCCCAAGGCTTGCACTGCCTTCATCTCAAAAGGAGTAGCAGGTTCTAGAAATCACATACTGAACAGAGAAGCACAGAAACCATGCAAGTCTCTCTCTCACTGAGCACAGACAGGATCCTGCAATGTAAACATTGCTTGGCAGCAGTTTTAGCTTTCCAAAGAGGCAGTGTTTTCTTTGGGTCGGCTGGTCTTCTCAGCAACCAGCATACATGGTCTTAGAGCCCAAGTGCAAACCCTAGAAATGTACAGAATTGTCTACAGCCCTAGTAATAATACAGGTGGCACTGTCCAGATTAAAAAAACAAACAGACAAACATGGTTTCATAACGGAATACCTTCTCTCTGTTGGTTCATTAGGCACACAATAGTAAAAACCAAAAATGTCTTTTGTGTGCATTCATGATTGCAGGCAACAGGTTTATGTTCTGCATCACTATTTGAAATGCATTCCCACATTAAGGTGTATTAAGAAAACATTATGGGGTCTCCTGTAAAACAGCAAACTACAGGAGAGTCAGAGTTGAGGCTGAAATTGCAGACTTGATATACTTCATTATATCTAGGTACGTACTGAATAGCTTGTAATAATACTCACTGTTCCAAAGACTTTTGATACATAACCAGAGGCTGTTTTGAGGGCCTAGAAATTGTATCACTGCAGGAGGCCTGGGAACCGAGACCACCTGTCTTCATTTTGATGGGACACTTTACTGTTTACTTTTTATTTTAAATTTAAAGGCTGGCCCACAATTTACCATCCTTCGTTTTTTAGACCCCCACATGTAACTCTCCAGACAGCACGCTAAAACCTTACTAGTGCTTTCTGAATCCAAGCTCTGCTTAACACAGCCGTGGTGGCTCCCACCTGCTTGTTTCAATAACCTCTGCAACAACAGCATAAGAATACACAGCACAAGAGCAGAGAGGAGAACCAAACTAGCTCCAACATATAAAGACATGCCTCAGAGCAGCAGAAAAAGGAAACAAACAAACAAAAAAATCACCCCAAAACCTCTTTTGGCTTAGTAAACCCAAGGAGTTTTAAAAAAAATAAAAAAAAAAATATTAAAAAAAAAAATCATTTTAAGCCTATGAACCTCTTCTACCTTTTTCTGTCCATGTTTCTCAGGGCTGAGTTTCACCCAAGGAGAGGAATCTCTAGCAGAAGCTTCCAGGAGTTCCCAGACTGCACTGCATCCAGTTTCAGGTGCTCAATGAATGCTACTGCACTGTGTCCACAAGACTGAAGTCTACTTTTGACCTCAACTCTTTCCAGTGCCCTCCTTAGGCCCTCGGTGGTAACAGAAAAGCACATTTCATTTCCCACTCCCAGATCCACGCAGCACCCCGTCAACACAGCGAGGGCACTGGAAGCAATCTGTGGAGAGGTCTCAGCCAGTCCAAAGTGCTGGGTTCTACATTAAGCCAGAAATACCTTTTGGTATAAACTGACAGCCCTCTTCGGCGCTGAAAGGGTTCTGCGTAACTCAGTATTGCCCCCATCTGTAAAATGAATAAATTACATTTCCTTCATAGGATGCTCTGAAAACTACAGCCAGAAAAGGAACTACAAGAGTAAGGTGCTACAATTAGCAATTGCCGTCCTTTTTTTCTTTTTAACATCATGGCAAACATGTAGAATAAGTCACAGAATGCTTCCATTTTCAAGGCTAAACCATCACGGCATTGTTCCACCCCACTTCATTTCTGCCATACATTTAACCTTTTGGGTCCCATTTCTCCCGTAGAAATCCCTAAATATCCCAAGAAGCACAGTTCCCAGGATATTTGTCAGGCAGCTGAAACCACAAGGTGTTTGAAGCTTAATGAGAAACCTTGCTCACATATGTTGTGGAACCACACTTCAGGCAGCATTTCCTCTGCAAATTCTAGAGATTAATTAGCTAGCCATAAAAGAATAAATATCAACCCTAGAATTATGGGAGGGAGGAAGGGGGGTTATGCTTTTACTTCAATTAGGAGAGTTCAAGGAAAGCAAAAAAATCATTAGTGTACACCTGATCAACTTCCTAAGCAAGCAGAACCAGGAAATAAGATCACAATCACTTCTGACTTCCAGAATGCCCAGCGCTGCCTTTGCAGTCACTTTTATTATTTTTCTTTAACACGAGAGGCAATCTAACAGACAGAAATCCAGGCTCCTGCTACACTAGAAAGAAGGCAAGAAACAGCACTGTTCTAGCTAAACACAGCAGTAAGACTAGGATGACCATTCTGGGCTCATTTTCAGTTGTGTTATGAAGTTTAAATGGAAGCAGATCAAACTTAAATCGTGAAACTCAAAACTTCCCTCCTCGTACAGCACACGGGCGCAAACTCTTCTTTGTGCAAAACTAAAGCTATTAAAAAGCCAAGGATAGAGGAGCATCCTCCCTTTAAACTGAAGGATATTGATCTAATTATATTTACGAGTGGAAATTTAAACTTCAGCAACACTGTCCGCTGAACATACCTACGTGAATGCAAGGGAGTCACAGGCAAAGCAGGAGAGATTCCCACGCAGCCTCTGCCAGCACGGTCCTGGTCAAGTAAAGCACTGGCAAGCACAGCGTACAGGCAGCTTGGCTAGTGTGTAGGAGCTGGCTGAGTCACGAGGCACATGGCCATATTCATAACACTTTCCTATGTTAGGCCCAACATATCAAGCACCCTACGAAAACTCAGCAGGGAAACTCCAATAGCACCCATGTTAATGAGTTTCAAAGAGATTCTTCCAACAGTCAGGCTGCATCTTCCTCTATTTAAAGCACACATGGGAACGAATTTTGCAAGATGGGAATGTACAACTTCTTATGGATTCAAAACACACTTCACTAAATGCTTTTCCTATTGTATCCTTGAGCTCAGCACTTACCTTTTGTAGGCTTCACGGCAGCATTTTCGTAGCCTATGCTTACTTACAAAAAAATTTACATCAACAAATTTCTAGGTTTCAAGAAATCTCTCCTAAATCAAACAGTCTTTTTCAAATGTTCCACCTGAAGTTTTCCTGTAAAATACTTTGTTTTCCTATTCAGATTAATTTTTAAGCTGTTAAGAAGATTGTGATCTCACAGGTACTCACAGAAATTTTTCCGCTACGATTGGCTTCTTCTCTTTCAGCCAGAGCCCGCAAGAAGTTACCTTTCAGTTCTTTTCCTACACTTGCTAGTGACCTAGGAAAAAAAAAAGGTACAATTATTACTATTTATTATTGCCACAGACTCTGGGTTCACGGTTGGGTTAAGTGTTCTGTAAATATAAGGAGACAGTCCTCAGCCTATCGTACCTAATTTGTCTATTGCCTGTTCTACTTTTACAAACCCTTAAACCACTCTTCAAAATTGATCACTACTGCACATGTACGATATAGCAGCAGTTTATCAAAAAGTGACTTCTGCTAACACGCATTTTCCCTTATATATCCAGAGTAATATAAGCGCTTATTTTTTATCTCCAGAATTACGGCCAAAGTCACGTTTTCATAAGAACACCAAATTTTCACAGTGTACCAATATAAATCTAAACAGATTTAATACTTCAGTCTTCAGCCAGCAACTAACCAAATTAACTACTACATACTTAAACTGCTTGGTGTGGTAGGGTCAATATAGTTTCTGTATCCTTAAGTACAAAGCGTGAAAAGAAAAACCAATTGGGCACGGGGGTGGGGTGTCAGTATGCAGGGAAAAAACAAACAAACAAACAAACAGGAAAGGATACCATACACTAAAAATTACTCGTCAGCCTTTGAACACAGTGCCCTAGAACTCAAACAGTCATTAAAAATAGAAAACACGCATCAGATGGACAGAAGTACTGAATATTGGACAAACCCTTCAACAAAAGTGTGACTGTTCAAAATGGTTTCTGCAAGTATCTTACCCTAATCTAAAGCCCTTCTCCATCTGCAGGGGTCATTGCACTCGCTCCAACGTACTCTGCACGAACGAGAAGGAAGTGGAGACTTCCTAAATCTTGCATTGAAGTGGCTTCACTGCAAACTTTTCCCCTTTTCATGTCTGAAGTAGTGAATGCTGACTGGAAAGTGCACTCTCAGGCAACCCAAGGCAAACCAGTGCCTCCAAGTTCAACACAGATCTACCTGAAAGGGGAAGGATTATTACATCCCCCCACTATCTCAATGTGAGCTCTGCAATAAAAAGCAGTAGCATTTGTCAATCTAAGTAGACAGAATACAGCATCAATAAAGATCTTTCTGTCAAGTGTATAATGTATCAAATTTCAAATAAACGAGTGCCACAAAACGTGAAAAATTCCCTTTGGTTAAGTTTTTCAATATAGACATGCACAGTAATGTCCTTCAACTGAGTGAAAAGCCTGCATCTAAGCTTCAAAATTCTGATGCAGAGCTATCAGGTCAATCTCTGGCCACTTAACCAGCTGTTATCCAGAAGCACCTTAGTTCGAAGCTGTTTCAGAAGTGCATCTGCCGCACAGTAAAAGTAAAAAATGAAAGACTAACATATGGATTAAAACACCTCAATTAATTAGATGTAAAAGACAGATAAGAAACAGAGTATTGAATTTTCCTTTTCCTGTCCAGTTAAGAATTCTAGATTCCCAAAGTATTCCTTTATCTAGCAGAGGTTATACTAAATCAACAGTAAATCTATGTTTAACAACTATTCTAGCCAACTTCACTTGAAGTCTCCGGCTACTGTTTTGAACCAGAAGGGTATGGGTGCCTGAAAGATTATGTTTTTAATCACTTAAATCTTATGTTCCAATAACAGACGTCACCTTTTCTTAAAAACCTTGTCTTCCTCCCATCCTTCAGTCACCAACAAAATAATCACTGACCCACTTGCAGAAAACTAAGATATATAAAACTTCCTTTTTAGTAAGTATCATTACTTCTGCATGAGAACACACTGAGACATGCCCGAGATCAAGCTGCACTGCTTCTGAAAAATATAAGGTATCGCTGGCTGGCCCTGTCTAGGCCAAAAATCACAGTGTTAAAACACTGTGTCAGGGTTTCGGCTGGGATAAAGGTAACTTTCTTTCAAGTAGCTGGTATAATGTTATGTCTTTGGTTCAGTATGAGAAGAATGTTGATAACACTGATGATTTCAGATGTTGCTGAGTAGTGTTTATACTAAATCAAGGATTTTTCAGCTTCTCATGCCCAGCCAGCAAGAAGGCTGGAGGGGCACAAGAAGTTGGGAGGAGACACAGCCAGGACAGATGACCCAAAACTGGCCAAAGGGAGATTCCATACCATGTGATGTCGTGTCCAGTATACACAGTGGGACGAGTTGGCTGGGGCGGGCCAGGCGGGGGCGGATCACTGCTCGGGAACTACCTGGTCATCAGTCAGCGAGCAGCGAGCAATTGCATTGTGCACCACTTGTTGTGCATATTCCAGTCCTTTTATTAGTAGTAGTACTAGTATTACTACTACTACTATTATTGTCATTTTATCGTCATCATTATTATTATTATTGTCTTATTACTTTCTTCATTTCTGTCCTATTAAACCGTCTTTACCTCAACCCATGAGTTTTACTCCCCTCCCTTCACACCCCACACCCCCCCCGGGATTCTCTCCCCCATCCCACTGGGTGGGGAGAAGCGAGCGAGCGAGCGGCTGCGTGGTGCTTAGCTGCTGGCGGGGGTTCAACCACGACACTTTTTCACCTAGCTTTGAAGAAAATCATCAAGTCCAGTCTGGCCAAAAGGGTTTCAGATTGGTACAAAAAGAAGCAAACAATGAAACACCAACTTGAGCAATAAAATATACTAACGTGCAGAGTAACCTTTTCACAAGAGATCAAAAGGTTCCTTAAATCGTTAAGGCACACTCAAAGAACCATCAAAGGTACGGGGCCCTTGGTTAAAAAAAGTCAGTGGAAGTAAAAAACGCCACAATTTTTTAAATAATCCTGTATAATTGATTGACAGAATTCCAGCTCGGGGTTTTGCTCTTTCGGGGGTTGGGGGGTGCTTTATATTATTCAGGGTGCAGCCCTCATTTTTTTTTCCAGCAACACCAGCGTATCTAAGGCTTCCGGTAGTTTTTAAACACACACACACACACATTCATCGTCTAAAAATAGATACCAAAGAGGAAAGCTACTCCACCGTTCATATTTAATACACCTACCTTCCACACATACACACTTACTCATTCCTGCCAAACTAAGTCTAGCACAGACAGGCACAATATCAGTACTCGGAGAAGTTAAATGGGTACGCTGAGCTCTGTGCTGGAAATTTCAGTTGGGGGCAGCTGTTGACCTCCCAAAAGAGCAAAGACAAAAGTTTTATTTTTCATGTGAATTTCCTGGGAAACCCAAGTAAAATACTTTCCACGGTCCAACTGTTGCTACGCGTGCGCTGCACCTAACCATGCTGGGCAGAGCTTGCTTTTCGTTATTAGTTTCTTCCTTACTGTTCTTATCTCAACCCATGAGTTTTACCTGTTCCCTTCTGATTCTCTCCCCCATCCCAGTGGGTCAGGGGGAAGTGACTGAGCAGGTGCATGGTGCTTAGCTGCTGGATGGCGTTAAACCATGACACAGAGCTAAAACACTGCAGGCGCACCACAGGTATAAGGCAGCAGCTTTTCACAATCCTTGAGATAATTCCAAAAGGTCATTATTGTGCCTTACTTGCTGTGTTGACTACCTGGGGTGTATTTCAGCAAGCCTAACTTCTGAAAGATGCAAAATAGGAAAAGGCATCATCTGATATGTATGTATTTTGTAAACACTAGTCTTAGCAACAAAGCCTCCCTTGCTCTATAGAAGATGCTTCAACATCTACAAAATGAAGAAAAAAAAAGAAAGCCTGGATTTGAGTAAAATAAATTAATTTTCCTACGGCCAGTGAGAAAAACCATCAACAACGATATTACGGCAGAATAAAACATTAGGAGTGCAACACATTATTGTTGAAGTGACACAGAAGCAAGATCACTTGGAGCAGAGCTTAGTATTAACTGGCTGCTTTTTTGTAACAAAAAGGGTGGTGGGACAGAAGGCCCCTGCCTCCCTCCGCCCCCCAAAAAAAAATCAAAGCAAGCAAAATAATTCTTGAGTCATATCAGAAAAACAAATGAAACATTTGTTCATTTAGATCAACCATTTTAGAAATATATCAACATCATTTTATCCTCACAACAATGTCCCTAACGGCCTGAAAGTAAAAGAAAAATAGTTCATGGGACCAGTGAGTGCAGAAGCAGAACACGAGATGTGTCCTCTGCATCAGACTCTTTACCTCTTTGAAATCCCCTGTTTTAAATATATACTATTACTATATATACTGTTACTGGATAAAGAATAACAGAAGGTATTGCTGTCAAATTTGAATCGCAAAGAAAGCGGAAGCAGGCTCAGGCTATTGCAAGGTAAGCCTTTATAAATTTAGAAAACAAGAGCGTTCAAGAGAATGAGGAGCTTAACACTTAACACTTGAATTCTAAAACTCCAGGACCTGGAAGCATCCCCCAGCATCTAAGCAAGTACTTCCTGACGTAGGGACAAAGAACTTCTTTGTATACCTTCCACTTTTTTTCACTGGCAAGGATTTACTCCTTTATTTCCTGCATGAATGTGTATGTTATTTCTTTGAGTCTTGGTCTTTTTCAGTTCTTTGCCCCTTGGGATGTGCATCGTGTACCTCGCTATCCCAGCTCAGAGATCCGTCTTTCCTCTCGGGGCTTGCCCACACAAGAAAAGTGCACCCATTTACCTTAAGGGAGACTTTCAACTAAGGTAGTTAAAACAGTACAAAAGGTCGCATGATTATTCTTAAGACTGGCTTAAACCAGGCTCATTTCAGTGGCAAACATAATCAATCAGTAACTGACCTGACTTAAACTGTCCACAAGACACTGCAAGCTTCTGTAGACATATTTTTGCATTGAACCGGTTCAGGAAAAAAAAAAAAAAAAAAATCAGTTTGACTTTAACTCAACATGAAGAATTGCAAGTTTCTGCAGAAATAAGTGTGCACTGAATTTTAATAAGTTCCAATTAGACATGGTTCTCATCTGAATAACACCACATATTCACTAGGAAGATGCAGCATTTATGGGAACATTGTATGAGCATTTGTTACTAGTCAGGCTTTGTGAAAGAAAGAAGATTTTCTCTCCCTGCCACAGCAGCACGTACGTTCTCCGCAGCCTAGTTTACCATCACAG